ATCTATTAAATCGAAGGGATTTTTAGAAGATGTTGAGGATAGAAAATATTTCAGATGTGGAAGTTTAGAGATCGAGTAATCAAAGTTGGTGAAAACTTTTACTTTTTAGATTACTTATATTATTTTGAGATGTTTTCTTGGGGATCAAATAGAAGTGGTGATTCCGGGTTGAAATATGGCTGTAACCTGAATCTTTTGAATAAAATTTACATAAGATACAATTATTATGAAAATGATACAGATAAGGGCATAACCGGTCTAAGAAACATCTTGCCGGGCAAGAGGAGGGATGTTCTCTCATGTAAAAAATTTTTAGATGCCATTAGAGAGGAGATAAAAACTTTTGCGAATATTGTAAAAAAGAAAAACGAGGAGAGAGGCATCTATAATAGAGCTAAGGTTTGGGTTTCGTGTCAATTTTGATGATTATGATGATAGTGATCAGGAGGGGTGTGAAGAGGTGGAATAGCTTGTTGAAGAATCCCCAATTAGGAAAAAAGAAAAGGGAGTTGTATTCGTCTATAGTAGTTGGGGTTGGGGGGCGGGGGGGAACAAAACAAATAAGCAAAATATTGAGAATATAATCAAGAAAAGAGAGATAGATATAGAATCAAGAAGGAAGAGAGAGAGAGAGAGAAAGAGAGAGCCACATAGTACATTACTAGATGGTTTTATGAGGGGGCTTTTCTTTTAATGCTACTCGCCAAAGCAGCTTCTACACCTTGGTAGAAGCCATTGGCCAATTTAAGTATGAGTTGTAGCTCCCAACCCCATATGAGCTTTTAGAGCATCTTTTGAAAAATGAGGTAATTGTCACGAGGGAGATTGTGGAAAAACAGAATACTGCATGGGCTCAATATGAGGTTTCTATTATAACTAATACTTGGAGTGATAAGAAGAGAAGAAGCTGGATGAATTTGTTGGTGAATTGTACTTTAGGGACTATTTTCTTTAGGTCTGTTGATGGTTCTGATAATAACCATGATGCCCATTATATATTTCAAGTGATGAAAAAGGGCATCAAGGAGGTTGGGGAGCAACATGTTACACAGGTTGTCATGGATAATAATACTCCTAATGTTGATGCTGCTAATTTGTTGCATATAGCTTATCCTAGTATCTTTTGGACACCATGTACAACAACTGTATAGACTTCATGCTTGAGGCTCTTTTCGGGTGCAGTTACGAAGGAAAAATCAATTACGACTTTTATTTATAACTATACCCTCACCCTCAACATGATGCGTAGATTTACAAAGAAGAAAGATATTGTGAGGCCCTGGGTCACGAGATTTTTTACCTGGTACCTATGCCTAGACATCATATATTCGAGGAGTATTCAATTGAGACATACGTTTACCTCGGATGAGTGGAGAGCATCCAAAGTCAGAGATTAGAAAGTAAGAGATATTATCATTTCTAAAGTCAGAGATTAGAAAGTAAGAGATATTAGGAGTGAGAGGCCTAAGAGGTCTTTGGTTAGAGGGTCTATGGATTGTTTTTTGCCCAGATAAGACTTTGAGGTTGTAGCAAACAAATAAGCAAACAACTATTGAGAATAGAATCAAGATGGAACAAAGAGATAAAACTGCACGATACATTGCTAGATGGTTTTATGAGATGGGCATTCCTTTCAATGTTGCTCGCCTAAGCAACTTCTATACTTTGGTAGAGGCAATTGGCCAATTTGGGTCTGAGATGAAGTCCCCAATCCTGTATGAGCTTTCAGAGCCTCTTTTGAAAAAAGAGGTGATTGTTACGAGGGAGATTGTTGAAGTTCAGAAGAATAAATGGGCTCAATAGGGGGTTTCTAATATGATTGATAATTGAAATGATAAGAAAAGAAGAAGCTAGATGAATTTGCTGGTAAGTTGTCCTTTAGGGACTATTTTTTTGAAGTTTATTGATATCTTTGATTATAGCCATGATGCTCATTACATACTTCAAGTCATGGATAAGAGTATCAAGGAGTTAGGGGTACCGTATATTATACAAGTTGTCACAGATAATGTTGTTCCTAATGTTGTTGTTGTGTATAGCTTACCCTAGTATCTTTTGGACACCATAAAAGCACACTGTATCGGCCTCGTGCTTGAGGATCTTGATGGTCTGTTTGAGTGATATTCAAGATGCAGTTAAGAAGGCAGTCAATTACAACTTCTATTTATAACCACACCCTTGCCCTCAACATGATGCGTAGATTTACAATGAAGAAAGACATTGCAAGGCCCGTGGTTACAAGATTTTCTATATTGTATCTATGCGTAGATAGCATACATTCGAGGAGAGTCCAGTTGAGGCAGATGTTTACCTCAGATGAGTGGAGAGCATGCACGTGGTTTAGGGATTAGAAAAAGAAGAATGCAAGTGATATTATCATTTCTAAGGCTTTTTGATGAGGGGTCAAGGGCGTTCTTAAGTTATTTCATTATTTTCACATGGTTGATAGTGACAAGCCTTTCATGGGCTACATATATGAGGCAATAGAGAGATGCAAGAGAGAGATAACCTACAATTTAGATGATGATGTGAGCCGCTACGAGCATGTTTGGAAGATTATTGACGAGAAGTAGGATAGGCAGCTACATCAGCCATCACATGTAGCAGGTTATTTTTCTAACCCAGCATTTTTTTTTATGTTGATAGGGTTATACACTCAAATGACACAATTATAACTGGATTTAAGATGTGTGTAGATGTGCTAGCCCCTAATTCGAATGTCCAGGACATTATATATGTTGATGAGCTAATAAGTTACAAGTGTGGATTAAAGTCCTTTGGGAGTTCAATGGCAGTGGGGCAAATGACCAAAATTGATCCAGGTAATAATATTATTAAGTTCCTCAAGTTCAAGTTTCATTTCATGTTTGTTGTTTATTTTTTATATACTATTTTTGATACATAACTAACAATTGTAATTCATAATTCATTTGCAGCTAATTGCTGGAACTAACATGGGTGTAGTGCTCCAAATTTACAAAAGTTGGTCATTCAGATCTTGAACCTAACCACTACCTCGTCCATCTATCAGTGGAAATGGAGTATTTTTGAGATGGTAATTTAGTTTACTTTAGTAGTTTACAAATTACAATTTACTAATTTGTATTAGTACTTTTGTAGTTAGTAGTTAGGTAGTAATTCTGATTATTATGTTAGTTATAAATTTGTAGTTTTACAATATTATATATTTAATTAATTATATTAATTAGTTTCATTTAATTTTATTAGATTCATACAAAAAAAAGAACATGCTTGAATCAAAAGGGTTCAGTTACCTAGTCTATATCAAATATAATCAACACTTGAAGGAGAGGTTTGCTAAGAGAGATAAAAGAGACCCCCTCAGATAAAAAAATATGGATAATGCTATGGAGTGGTTGGTTGATGATGATGAGGTCAAGGGACATGAAGGATTGACATGGGCTGTGGTCATGGAGATGTCAAGGAAGGCAGCCGACCATCCTAGGGCCACTGGAGCTTCTTCCCAAAGGACGAGGGTGGAAGAGGATGAGGTTGAAGCAGAGCCAGATTTCGAAGAGACAGAGGTGGACAATCATTATGTTGAGGAAGGAGATAATTCCGTGACGATGGCCTCGATTTTGATGCATATGATATAGATGCAGTTGACCTTATGTTTTTTTTACGATGAGTGATGATTGAAGTCTAGATCTCTTTCATTTTTGTTTTCCTCCTTAGTTGCGTACTGTGGTTTGTAAACTTTTAAGTTTTAACTGTGTGTAGACTTTCAATTATGGATAATTGGATATGGACTTTTGGAGTATGGAGGAGTGTACGTGGACTTGTTGACCATAGATATTTGATGTGCCCCCCTAACTCTTGTGTGTAACTTCTTATTTTCTTTCATTTTCTTGATGATGAATTATTGTCTTGATAAGTTTTTATCTTGGATTATGGACTAAAATATGTCTCAATATGTATTTTAAATTTTTTTACACAAAATTTGACCTTAAAACAACTTTTTATTCTACTGGCCCACCTAGGTTTTGTGTGCATGCCTAGGCGCTAAGTGACCTGACCCCGCGACCGCCTAGATGCCGCCCGACTTTTTTTGAAACACTGGTGATGTTAGATCTTAGATGTGTCCCCGGCTTTATCTAAGTCAGGTCTTTGTCTTGTAGAGATGTCAAACTCTATTTTGAGTCAAATCTCTGACTTATATAGATGTTTCAGTTATGTTTTTCTCTTGGACCTCGTACGTTTTTTAAAGGAAATGCATACAAAGTGACCATTTGCTTTTAGTACAACAAGGAGACAATCACTGTTGTCCTTCCGATTGCAAATCGGGTGGTTGTGTGTGTCGTTGACTGGAATTAAAGTTTTAAAAAAAATATATCAAACTTTATGACACACCCCAAGCTGTCCAATTTGATATCTAATGGTTATGAGTAATTGTAACCTCCTAGTAAGAATAATTAATGGTCTCATTATATACAATCATTTTATTTCTAAAATAAAAAATGGTGGAATGATTATGGGTTGGGGAGGGTCCCATACTTCTCTATGGCCCTTTGTTGTGCACTTTCCAATAACACCCTCTATTGGTTGGGCCGAAATTTAGCCTGTTCAAACAATACTTTTTTTTGTTTTTCCAGTTTGTGAATGTTCTTTTTGCATGCAGCAAGAGATGCATGTCTACATTTAAATTTTCTTTTTTCGTGTACAATTGTACAGAAGAAATCAAATTTTAGGAAATTTAGGAACCAAGCAAGTGAGATGCTTTTGATTTAATTTTTAAATCTCTATCATTCTTAATGTTATTAGAGATACAAAATGTTATTAGAGATACCTCTTTCTCACACATACCCCTCTACTATCTTCTAACTCTGCAATGGGTTTTGGGGATTTCAATGATAGGGCGATCTTATTGGGTTAAAGGCAATTACAGAGAGGGGCGAGAGGCCCAACGACTGAGAGAGAGCACGGCCAGATTTCTATGGAGGAAAGAGTTTGTATAAGGCCCAATGAATGAGAGAGAGCATGGCCAGATTTCTTTGAAGGAAAAAGTTTGTATAAAGTATGGACTTTGTATTGTAGGAGTAAGGTGCACCTGAAAAACCAACTAGAGAAGGTTGTTTTTATGTTGGAAAACCTTCAAATCGATCATCTCAACTTTGAGATTTATAGATATGAAAAAGATGGGATTTCTAGTCTTAAAAATAGTCCATCTTCTAATATATTATCTTGATTTCCCATTTTCAAGTGTTTATAAATTTGTTTGATCATCACCATTTATGGAACATTAAGCGCTTTTTAACTTGTTTAGTGGGCTGCCCATCCACCGATTTAAATCCAATGGCCGATACGTTGGGTCTTAGGAGGTGTGGGGAACTCACAAGATTTATTCACCCCTAAAATATCTCTTTTTTTGACTTTGATGAAGCATTATCTAAGTATTGTGATACTTCTCATGGCCATCACTATGTTTTAAGTACTGTGATGTCTGAAAACATTCAGACGATCATGACATTATGTCTATCGATGTCTTCACGGTAATACGACTATCGTGAAGACTATTTTTGTCAAAAAATGTAAAAAGAGAAGAAAATGGGTATGGATAAGGATTAGAAAAGTATGATGTTTATTTCTGATAAGCCAAAAATTAAAGTATATTTTTAATAATTTTTTATTTTAATAAACCAAAATTAAGATATATTTTTGATAATTTTTTTTATTTTTTTAAATAAAAAAATCATTTCTCATCTTTCATATATTTTTTCTGTTAACTTTTTGGTTTTTCCTATGTTTAAATATATATTTTTTCTTTTTGGGTTTTTAGGCCATCAGGCTGCTCATTTGGTGACTAGCCTAAAAGTCGCCCAAATAACTCTAGGGGCCAACTTCTGCGGCCGAGCTGAGTTGTAATTTTGCAACACACTTTTTCCCAACTAAAGAAATTACAGTGTAGACTTTGCACCTACTATACAATTCAGCTAATTAAAACAGAATTTGTCCACCTGTTATACACTGTCAACCGATTCATTCATCTTTCTTGGAGTAGTTTCTCCATTCATTTCTTTCAACCCCTCTGCTCATGCTTTCTCTATGATCTCCTTTCTTGCTATTGAGCTCATTATTAATATGACTTCTACATGCTTAGTGTAATTACTTAGCCCAAAAAATTATTGAGTAATGTTAAATGTAAAAACTATAAAAAAAAAGGGATAGAAAAAAGTGGAATAACTAGAAGTCTAAATAGCATGCAAACGAGATATTAAAATATCTATTTAAAATTGCATAACGGCATGAAAAAGTTCTCTCATGCGGTCAAGTGCGATAATGTTTGTACTCCTATTAGTTGTCAATTGATGTGAAAAGATGCACTAAGACTAATTAGTATGAAATATAAAAACATTTTTACGCGAACCAAACATGCCATAATTCTATATATCTAAAAAACTAATTCTTTTTTAAACTTATGGATTATATTTTTCTATTTAATTCATATTCCTATCTAACCACAAATCATTATCCCCAAAAAAAAAGGAAAATCAATAAGGACAGAAAAACCTTTCTCTTCGAAAGAAAAATTCCCTCAATCTTTGCTAGTAAACAATTCAAAACTGTTATTGCAGAAGAAAAAAAGAAGGCTTTATTTGCGGCCAAATTTCACCTTGTTATTTTTTGCATAGTAGAATTAGTAGTACATATCGATACTCATCATGCACTCCATTTATCAAGTTTCAACTGATCACCGAAATTTCGCTCGAAAGCTCACTCGACTCGTCGATTCGTTCACGACTCCGAGGGAAAGCGACAAACCTCGAAGGAAAATTGGCGCGATTCGGCGAGTCTTCATTGTCGTCGTGCTCTTTGCTATCAAAATTCATGGCATAACTCAAGGGATCGTACCTAAAATCGCCGGTCGCTTTTGGCCGGCAAAACCCTTCCCTCCCTATCTTCGCGATCATCGACCGGCACAGGTCCTTCAATTCCGGTAACTCTTGTGCCCGGACCTTGAGCTTATGGAGGAGTGTTGGCTTGCCGGAGTCCTGTGAATCACCGGGGCCAAGGCAGCGTGAGAAGATGGAGGCGCATCTGGACTGTTGGGATTTGGTATCATCGGCCATGGTTTAGTGAGAGAAAGTTGGGGTGAAGGTTAGAGAGAGAGGTGTTGTTAATGAAAGAGTCAATGATGGAGCGATGAAGCGAGGTTGTTATCAAGTTTGCACTTCGGCCCTGCGGAGGACCTTTTCGGCGGAGTATATCGTACACCACTGGTGCATGTTACGTAGCTAGCACACTAACTACACAAGTTGCGTACGGTTCTGATTCAAAATAGTGCCATTACACAGCGGGAAAATTTAGGATCCCACTATTCAATTCCCGTGTGGGCTCATTCCGGCACTATTTTTTACATGGATTGAATCCAAATTTATAGAGATTATTGATAATGAATATTAAAAATAAAAGAGTGATTTACATATAGACCCAAGAACTTTACCAAAAATAAGAATACTCTGTTTATTGGCGGAAATTATAAAGAATGTCTGTCAACCAAAACTTTTTTTTAAAAATTACCCTATAGTGTGAAGATGCTATACTCATCCTGCATTTTAATTGTGTTTTTAGGTTTTTTCTTTTAATTATTTTTTTAACTTTTTTATTTTTTTTATTAGTAAAACAGTGCCCCAAGCTCTAAAGATACTGCCTTGGTTGTACGAGGTTGAAATCCCCAAACCTCGACTTGCACTATAGATTGAGCACAACTTAGTTCCAGGGAGGTTTGAGGTCCCTTCATCGGATGGCTTTTTATTTTATTTTATTTTTTTATGATAAATAATAATATTTTGAATCGCTCCGCATCGGTTCGAAGATTCTAACATCAGACTCTGGGCACTCCCTTAAAGCTTGGGACCTTGCCTTACTAATGAAAAGATTAAAAAAAATTAAATTAAAATGCCGCTCGAGCAGGGCATATTTGGACCGATAAATAATTTTGAAAAAAAAAACGCATGTTGGCTGATTTTCTTTATAATTTCTGCCTATAAACTTAACATTTTTTCGGTACATTTTTAGGTCTGTACATAAATCACTCAAAATAAACTAAGATAGGATGAAATAACATTTTAAAATAATTTTTTAATTGTTTTTTCATTTCATTGGATAGGAATCTTCAATCATGGAGGTTTTCTGGTGCGAGTTAGTAGGCCGGTGTGTCCGCGGACTCTGAAAACACTCTTCCGAAAGTATAAAAAAAGAAGCGTTTACTCGCCATGGTTTAGCCTTCATTTAACGCCGTTGCTCACTCGTCCAGGGCTTCATTTTAAGTAATTTTCAGCTCTAATGGCGAGCAATGCTTTATCTATGAACCTTCGAGGTAGTGGCTCTTCGTCACGCCCTAGAAGAAGAAGAAGGCTTCGAAGCCCTGAACCGAGTGAATATGAAGAAGACGGTGTTGAAATCCTTGGTACATTTGAGAGTTTTGAGGGAGAATTAGGGCAAGGGATCCATGAGAATGCTTCTTGTGATGGATTGCTGGGGCATAGTGGGGATACGGGGAACTTTGAGAAGGGGAGTTGCAGAGATAGTTTCGGTGAAATGGAGAAGAGCATGGGTGATTCGGACTTATTTTCGTGCCCTATCTGCATGGAGCCGTGGAGCTCTGATGATACTCATAGGATCTGGTATAAACCTTAGAACCATGAGGTTTAGGCGTGTTTTTCTCTTTCTGAATTTTGTTGTCGCTGTTTAATGTATTTGGGGCATGATGTTTTCTGAATATGAAGTGAACTTCTCTCTTTCTCTCTCTCCCTCTCTCCCTGGCGGAACTTATTACGGAGTCCACAGAGGCACACTAACATATTACAGTGTCCACATAAACACTGCATCTCTTGCAGGATGTATAGAGAGAGAAACACTGCATCTCTTAAATGAGAGAGAGAGAGAGAGAGAGAGAGAGAGAGAGAGAGAGAGAGAGAGAGAGAGAGAGAGAGAGAGAGAGAGAGAGAGAGAGAGAGAGAG